TAACTCCAATATACAACCAGAAAACCAAAAGTGGTGCTGTGGCTCAAGTAGTAGAATGCTTGCCTTGAGCTGAAGAGCTAAGAGACAGGGTCCAGGCCCAGAATTCAAGCCCCACGACTGACCAAAAAATTAATTAAATAAATAAATAAATGTGTGTGTGTGTGTGTGTGTGTGTGTGTGTGTGTGTGTGTGTGTGTGTGTGCGTGCGTGCGCACATGCAGGTGCACTTTTATATGGTTGATACAACCTTTCTATTCAAACTCCCAACAATGCATTCCCCAAGAGATGCTGGGGAAATAAATATTAGATCATCACAGTTCTTATCCTGGTAGACACATGGTACATGGCACAAGACAAAGCAGACATGCCCCCTGCCCTCCAGGATTTTACAGAATCCTGTTAAAAATAAGCATTCAGTAAACACACAAATAATGGCAAAATGTACAAAGGGACTATAAAGGGAAAGAGAGTACCTCCTAAGGTGATATTTAACAGGGACCTTGTCTGGGGGAGGTACCCAGTAAGGATGCATGCATGGGACCTGGACTGAACACTAACTCAACACTAACAACAAACATTTAGGCCCAATATCAAACTAAAGAGTGGTACATGAACATAACCTGCATTTCTGCTTACACAATGCTGAGACAACCATTTTTGCTTATATCTTCTCTATTTTGACCTTACATAAGAAAAACTTAAAATAGGATAAACTCTGAAAGGTTTTAGAGTTAAGTCAGTAATAATACCTGTGTTATTAAAATGACTAAAAGAAAATATTTTAAATGTAATAATTGATTTAAGAATCATCCATGCTTAATTTCAATAAATCAAAAATGAATAATGGATATATCTAAGTGACATATGGAAAAGACTCTGTTCCTTGATAGTTTTAAAGTTCTGAAATTTAACAGTTATCTTGCATTAGGCCACATTCTTAACTCTCTCATCTGTTACTTTTAAGATATGAACATTAAATAACTTAACCAGCATAGTCCTATTTGATCACCTTCTGAGAAGGAAAAAGAATTTGAAAGCCTGGCCTCACTAGGGAAAACAAGGTAACGTTGGAACGTTCAGTTATGGAATCCCATAGCAAGATCTCAAGATGTTTTGCTGATTTTTCAATATACAACTAATTTTCACTGCCTTTTAAATAAAGGTCATGTGAAATATATTTACAGGCTTGAACAATCTAATTAAGGCAAAGAAGTCTACAAGCCTTATCAAGGTCAATAGTAATGTGAAAATTTGAACACAAATCATTAACATAGAGTATATTTCGGCAGAATATTCTAGAAAGATGATCAAACCTAGTTGCGCATTACAATTCCCTGGGGAGCTGTTGGAAAGGCGCAGGCCAAACTTCTAAGCTACTAATATGACTGGCCTCAGTTTTCTGGGTGTCTATGCCGCTCCCAGGTCCCCCCAATTTTCTCAGGGAAACATCACAGAGATTCCACGGCTTTATAACTTTGGATCCCAGAAAGAAAACTCCAACAACCCCTGATAATGCTAAACTTATACTCAAGGTAGGAATTCTGCCCTAATCATAATCATTTTTGTCAGTTTTATCATACTTTTAACAACAAATTTCAGCAACAATAACCAAAAAAAAGTTTGCAAATCCTATTCAAACCAGGAAAAGGGGCCGAAAGCAAAGTTGTTGCTTTTTTTTTTTGCTTTTGTCCTTAGCATTGATACCGATTAACATGAGGAATTAGGAACTGGTTATCATGCCATTAAAATTGGGCTATGGTTAAAAAAAAAAAGTTTATTCCCACTCATTTTCATGTCTGTCACACTTTCCATTATACATTTTATTTTCTCTGCCAATAAAAGTAGTATGAGGTTGCAATTTGGCAAGAAAAGTCTTAAGCCTGGGTGTGATTTCCGTATACCAATTTGATATAAATTCATTTTCCCACATCTAGCTAGAATTTTTTAAGTCCATTTGACTGCTTTTGTCTGTCTATTGGTTCATTTTATAAATAATATCTTAAATCTCACCACATACATGGTAATTTTTATATGGCCATGTAATGATAAATATATGTGTTAATAAAGAACCTGTCAGCTTTTTCCCCTGATAAAATATCCATTTTTTTAAGATGTCATGTATCTATCACTATTACAGTAATACTAAATCCCTACATAAAACACAATGGTGGGAATATATATTTTAACCTCATATGCTTTTGAAAGAGTATCTATCTCATATAATAAACTCTAGGACAGTGTTTTTACTACCTGTTGCTTATCATCACTAATTTTCTACACCAGACCAAAAAACCAATGGGACTAGAATAAGTATATTCCTATAAAACATCGCTCATCCATTGAAGTCCATAGGACACATCATTATCATTTTAAAAAAGCAGATTTGGAGCTCCTGAGGGCTCACATCTAAAGGTTTTTGTCCAGCATCTTAATAATGTAGCAAAGAGGAGAAAACAAATTACCCGCCTCCCCAAGTGTTACTCACCTTGTCACAAAGTAGGATACCATTTCAGCTGTGATCTGCTATTTAGACTTGAAGCCCAAGACACCAGGATTTTGCCTTTCTTTTTCCTTTTTTTTTTTTTTTTTTTCGGTTTGTATAGCTGTTCTAGCAGACAGGGATTCAAAGAAACAATGCAGCTCCAGAGAAACTGATTCTCTGAAAGACTCTAGTCTGTTCTATTCTCAAATTTCACAGAAAGCACAAGTTCACACTATGGCCACCTCTCATTCTCAAGCCCTACCCTTTCCTAAGCGGGGAATTTCAAACATTTATCTATTATTATCCTTAAGTAATCGTCCTAAATGTTTACGGATTCTGCCGAGACCATGCTAGGCAGAGAAAGAGTCGTTCTTGCAACCATAAAAGCAGAAATAATAATGAGGGGGCTCCACACTCCCCAACTACAGTCTGAAAGCTTTTTTTTTTTTTTAAAGAAAAGCAGATGTAGCCATCTCCCCATCTACAAAAGCATTTTTCTGTATAGGAACGACTCAAAAACGAACCTCCCAAGGCCCAGAAAAATCAACCATCACATGCCAATCAGCCACCTTGCAATCCCCCCTCTGCCCTCTCCGCTTCTCACCTTGTGTTTGGGGGGGGAGGGAAATTAACTCGAGTTTCACCCGAGGGAAGGATTGCCCACAGACGGAGGGAGGAGGGTCTGCGTTCTGCTCACACAGACAAGACTCACACGGTCTGGATGATGCTTTCACAAGTTAAGGGGCCTCACGCTTACTCAGCAGAGGAAATCTTTGTGTCTGTGAGGAATCACGCCAATTCCTATTAGTAAGAAAGGATCCAGGGGAGAGGAAGCCTGTTCCCTCAATGACCAGCCAAAGGGGCCCAGCACAAACAGAGACCTCTGCCATGACCATCTGCAAAAAAGGAAGGATGTTGTCAACTTTCTTCTCCCCCCAAACTCCAGTGACCTCCGCCTTGACCCTCAGAAACCAGAGCCACAGGAACCGGCTCTTCTGTAGGAATTCAGAGCTTTACACCAGAGACCCAGCATTGAGAGGCTCGGCGGCCAGGCTATCTGCCCCGAACATGTGCACTCACATTCCAAAGATGTTTCCGCTGCACTGGAATGGCTGTAAATTTCTTTCCTGCACAATTCTTTCCAAACAAACTGCCATGAACTGCTCTCCGGCAGGAGTTCTCACCAAGCACGGCTCATCTCATCCCAACAACATCTTTCAGATGTGGAATATGACTGCATTGGTAACTGGGCCAAAGGAGTCAACTTTAAAAATGCAAATGTATACAGAGGGAAAAAAAATTAAGAAGCCAACCCACCAGAATTCCACCTTTCATGATAGATGACAGATCCGTAAAAAACTCCTCCTTCACAGGCTCAGTTTCATTGCTAAAGCGCATGTGTGCTTCTATTTTCCAGGGATGTATTAAATAGGCTATTTTAATAATACCCAATTGATTTTTTCCCCATACCATTAAAGAAACTTAGAAGGCCAGAGAGATAAAAAGAGAGAGCATACATTTTCCAGCATACACACAAAAAAAGAACATGCATACACTACTGTAGAACAAGAAAACTTTGAATATTAAAGGGTACTATTCAATAGTATCCATTTTTCCAAAGTAAGACATTCATGTTCTTGCAACCAACACAGGTTCTTTAAGAGACAGAGACAGAGAAGAGACATTTTAAATATATGATCAATACTGAGGTTGGAATAAAAGGAAAACATCTATAAAAATTCCGCTTGTCTTGAAATAAAGTTTCCACCTTTGCCTATAAATAGCAGCATTTTTACATCCGTTCTCTCCAGGGAATTAAAAAGATAGAAGAAATGCAGAGAGTACCAAGGTACAAACACACATTTGGACATCCCACACCTCTGTATTACTCTGGCATTTTATTATTTAATTAAAGTACTCTTATTTTTCTAGCTCACGCATGATTCCCCCGAGACGGCTTTGCTGTTAGCCTGCTGGCCTTGACTTCCAGCCAAAAACAATTCAGAAACAAAAAAGGGACAACAAATCATATTTCCACAGACATTTTTATCCCTTACTACCACCATGTTTTCACACAACATCATACACCCCTATGAAAACTATAATTTAGGGCCACAGCCACCCGAACCCGGAGTCTGACACACAGCTTCACAAAGCATTTTCTGTGTACAAAATTCCTAAGTTCTTAATTGCAAATAAACTCTTTTTGATAGCCACTTCAACCGACATTGCTGGCTTACAAACAGTATCGCTGGTACAAGCTGATAAATTTTTAAAAATACATGAAATAAAAACAAACGAGCCAGGGATATAGCTCTGACCCAACAGAAAACTACAGAGGAGGTGTTTATTAGTTCTTAGTTTAGGATTATTGCATGGTTTTGAAACAGTTATCAGCAGACTCTCTGTGCACTTCAGAAAAACAGTTGAAAACACCTAACTTAATCAAATCAGCAAAATTCGTTGGTCCATCAAGTCCACTCTCTCACCTCCTCCCCCTTACTGGAGCCGCACTTACCTGGTGGCAACCTTGTAAGTTTGATTCTCTCCCATAAGATGAGTAGGAACCCCTTTCTGTTTTACCTGCCAAGAGAAACAACAAAACAACATAAATCAGGCTTTTCCTGTTCAAAAACCTCTACTGCAGGTAACAGGCATCTTTACTTCTCTTCCGATGTTTACATACGTAAAGTAGGCACGGCTGACAATGTATGCAAGCAAGAGAGAGGAAAGCACTTCCTCACTCTGGCGATGATAAACTGGAAAAAAAATATCCTTCATTCCTATTCTTAGCCAAACTGCTCCACACTTCCAAAAACTGTCATTCCAATGGTCTCCACTCTCTTAACAAACAAATTGTCACTCCTTATTTTCACTTTCTTTCTCTCTCCCAAAATTTAAACAATTTCAATTTTATTTACACAGCCGGCAAATTATCTATGTAATGACCCTAGCCTAGTAATTCCCATTGATTATATTGACACTTAATGCGGAGGCCAAAGCTAATCAATCACAAGCTCTCCAGATGGTGAATTTAGAAAAGAAACTATTCAAAATTCTGAGTCTCTTTCTCTCTTTCTTTAAAAACTCCCTTTCCCAGGAGAAAATATCTCATCATGATCATGATGACGATAGCGTTTATGTTTAGGAGGAAGGGGCTTTTTGAAAAATCGCCCCACACTGAACCCGAGTTCAGATTCCACCAGTAGACCGAGCAAGCCCAGGGAACTGGGAAATGGGAACACCATATTCCAATTCTGACACATAGGTTATTAGTAGACAGAGCTCTATACATTGTATAGGACCTCCGATGCTTTTTAACCACGTTCATGGATAAAACCAAGGTAGCTCATTTGTTTCTAGAGTTTGTTTTGCCTTAATAATCAGCAGAGCAGATAATGAAACCACATTACAAGAGATCTAAGCAGTCGAGGCCAGCTGGTGGTGTATGGAGTGTTGGCCATAGCAGGAATGGCAGAGGTTTATGGAGGCAGCAAAGTAGTCAGGACCTAACCCCCGGGTGAAGGATGGGTTTAAGAGTGTCGAGGTGCACTAAACTTCCCACACAGGATCATACCTTGCTTTCTCCCAGTGTGCAAATTCAAAACTTACATTTTAAAGGGCTGAGCTGATATCCTTTTCAAGTTTACAACCCCTAAATTTTCCTTCCCAACCCTCAATAACACAGATGCTAGATGTAATATTATTCTCTTGATATTCCAGTTCAATGGCAATGCTATTAAGAATATGTTTCATTGATAGCAGACAATAATATAAGGTATCTTTCAGAGATCTTTCTATCTAGCCCAAAGCATACTCTGTATCTAAGACACTACACACACACACACACACACACACACACAAACAGAAGGGGATGTTTTAAAGAGAGCTACACAACTGAGCCTTAATATCTCCTCTCTCCTTCCCCATTATTAACTTTTCTACTGATATGATTGGATCTCAAACTTGGAGAATACCACCTTCATTTCTGACACCCTGTTCTGTGTAAAGTATAAAATCAATGCTTATATCACTTTCAATTCCAGTGAAACAAGACCTGATCACACACACTGTCCATCACGGGAGATCTGAGGTAGCTCCCGCTGCATGTGATTGTACATGGAAAATGAGGAGTGTTTACCTGTCCGCAATGGCCATAGACCCACTCTTACTCATCTGTGGAAGACAAGATAAAGCTACTCCTATCCTTTATCTGTACTTTATAAATACTGCTAACAGAAAAGGCTCAACCTTGATGAGCCCTATCAAGTGATGCATGTCTATCCCTTTAAGCTCTGACTTCTAAAATCTCCTCAGTGCCACCACAGCATACTCCATTGACATAATATTCACTGTGCAACCACAGACAAGCAGGCCGTGAGAAAGAAGAATGAAACAGAATTGCTTCGATTTTTTTTTTTTTTTTACAATAGGAAACTGAATGCCTTATGTTGTGTTTGAGTGAGTTCTAAATAGTGAATTGTAAACTATAGTTTTGAGGAAGAAAGGTCATGATGGGTTTTCTTTTACTACAGAAGAAATTACTGGAGAGATGATTGCTATAAGACATTTTCCCAACTCTTTCCCAATTCTCTTTCCCAATGCAGAGAATTGGAGAGATGAGTTTTCCTAGTGGGATTTGGCTTACTTCGTACACATACAAGGGGCTGATTTCTTCTATTATTTTGTAAAGCCAGAAAAGAAGGTCAATGCAAATAGGAAAGGGGGGGGAGTGGAAGACAAGAGGAAGAATGGAATAGAAAGAGCAAGACGGTGGAAAGGGAGAGGCAGTGGGAGAGAGAAGAAGAATATGAATGCACATCGCCGAGTTCGCCGAGTCCTCTTGGCTACAGGCATGGGCCCAGCGTTCTTTACTATCATATCAGATACAGACTGCTTAATCTCAATTTTGCTTGTTAAAAAATATTTATCCAGATACAAAAATAAACCCACTGCAAATTACAAGTTGTCAGGGTTAAAAATCTCCTCGTGTTTGTGTGGGGGAGGATGAGAGACCAGCATAGACATGAATCATTCTCAGTAATTTGAGTGTTTCCATGACATCAGTGGGCACTGGTCCAGGACTCTGTCGAAGTCTGTGAGGTACCGAAGAGGCAGCACACAGCCAGCAGGAGTCTGGGAGGTGGACTTTTTTTTTTTCCCCTCCTTCCCCCCCTACCTCACCCCCCCCCACCCCCCGCCAAGGATTATGCTCCTTGTGAAGATTTCATCGAGAACATCCACTTTTACCATCAAATAGATTGCTCTAGAGATTGTGAGTGAACACATTTCATCCTGATAGTGTAAGCCTTTAACTTTATTACAGCTTTTTGTTCCCAAATTCAACTATAAATCTACCCTCAAGAGCCCTAGCCCCTGTTCTGGGAGCAAAATAATCCGGGATTGTGGATAAAACACACAAGTGTCTCCTTACGTGTCAGATTTTTTTTTGTCATTTTTCCTTTTAGGCCTCATCATTTATTTGAAATGCTTAAAAAAAAAAAAAAAGCAGCCATTTTAAAATGACACCTCAAGATCCAGAAAATAAAATGTTTTAAAACCTTTTTGTTTTGTTTTGTTTTAGAAAAATAACTATTATAAAATATATTACGGTCTCCTTGTTCAGTTTTTCTGATTATAATTCACTGGTGCATTTTGTTTCAGAGAACATTCCCCCACCCCCACCCCACCACCTCCCCCGCCACCTCGGAGAGTGCTAAGACTCTGGTGTGATCAGGACCCTTCAGGAACGATCTTGTGTGCAGGGACAAAAGCTAATACCTGCCTGTCCTCTATGGTGGGCCTGGATTTGTCACTTACACCAACTAGCTGGCTCAGTCAGCTTCTTTTCCTCCAGTCTCCATTCCTGGCAGTTTACCTCCTCCTCCCCCTCCTCCAACCACCTCTACCACGACCACCACCACCACTACCACCACCACAGACGCTTTGATACAGGGAAAGATTCTATTTTCCCAATATTTCAAAGACATGATCGCAGCGGTGAAGAAACCCGGAGAGCTCGCTGCAGAATCTTCGAGACACCCCTCTAGTACTACAACGCGACAGCCGCTGCGGATATTTCTTTGGCACAAAGACAATGGTGGCAGTGCCAAGCCCCATGGCTAAAGCTACTCAAAAGAGGCATAAGGGTAGCATTAATCCCCCAAGTCTTTTACTGCATGGAGTACTGTGGTCTATATTTTAAAAAAAAAAAACTCCCAAGTACCCCTTTGTCACCTTAGTTGTTGTATGGCCTAGGAGCCAGGGGGGAAGGGAAGGGGATGCTGACATACACACTCCAGAAACAAATCCTGCCAGGCATTTGATTCATTCGTATACCTCAAAGGACCAAATGTTAAATTTTGCTGCTTGGTGACGAATTCCGGGCATGAGACGCATGATGTGAACTAATCCCGTACACAGAGGGCTGAATGAAAGCAAAAGAGGGGGCAAAAGAAAGTGAAGTCGACATATTGGCTAAACAACTTTCTCCTGCAGAAATGATGCATACAGGGAACATGTAATTCCATGTCACAATTTTTTTTTTCATTAAACAAGAAAAATCGCTGGAAATGAGCAGACACAGCACCCGTCAATCAATCCTTCAGGAGACAAAGGAGACCAACAGGAACAAGTTGGCATCTACAGTGAGCAAACAACCCAGAAAGTCAACATAGGTTTTGTCCAATTTGAACCCATCGTATGGCTAGAGTCTATATTTAAATCCGATTATTTCAAACGGCACCAAATGACAAGCAATAAAAAATTCACCTGAGTCTTCTGCCTCTTTAAGACAAAAAAACAAAAAACAAAAACCCCAAGCAGAAAAATACCAGAAGCTTATATTTTAAGGCCCATCATTTTTGCTCATCTATTTGACATTCTTTCATCATTCTGTCCCAAGAAGTAGAAGGAAAATTTGGGTTTGGGTTTTTTTATTATTATTATTCATGGAGGAGTCTGCTTAACAAATGTCTTGAGAAGCCAAATTCGTTATTTTCATATTCTTTTGTTATTTGCTCTTTGACTTCCAATTTTTCTTGCCAATTTTCCCATTTTTCTTCAGGTTACCCCTGTGGTTGTGATGGCAATGAAAATATTACACAATGGAAAAAATGATTTCATAAACTCATTCTATTTGGTGAGATGTTTCCAGAAAGAATCAGCCTGGGAATATTACTGTGCCTGCACCTAGAGACAGCTCAAAGCCACATGAAAGAGCAAAGACAGACAAGAGCAACTTGTCTAAAGACTCAACTCCTGAGAGTAATGGAATACAGGCCATCCCTCTGGTGGTGGGCCAGGAGAATAATAACTGGGTCCAGTGAGGGTTTCCACTGGGAAAAGGCCATGTTAACGATGATAAAGCAATAGTACACTTTTGCCCACCATTGGAACAGACACACCTGGATGGTAAAGCAGAGCATCCTGTGAACAGCCTTGATGAAAAATTATCTGATGCTGTAGTACAATACACCCAGCTAGGCTGCTTCACTGCTAATCCTCATTCTGGGAATTGAAGAATGAGCCTTTTGTTCCCTGGCATCAGACTAGGAACTCTTCATAAACACGTTTGTTTCAGA